CAGACGTTTAATCTGATTACATCCTGAAGATTACAACACCCCCCCCCCCACACTTTTCTCTGTTTGTTGCAGCTGAGAAATTGTGATATCTAAGGGGTATCGCTCCCTCTCCCAGACGCATAACACTTTCCATTTGATGTATTGTCATTCACAGAAGTGTGTTTTCAGAGCACTGGCTGAAACATTAATACGGTCAGGGGATGGAGGGGGTGTGTGTGTGTGGTGGTTGCTTATGACCTAGTTGTGATGTTCATCAGGGAATATGGAAACCCCAAAAAAAAATAAAAATAAAAAATCATAGTTGGTCAACAAATTGAATGAGTATTCTTGATATCCTTGTAAGCTGTCTATATGCGCACAGAAATGCTGATTTTGAATTATAGTTACCTTTAGGTGTGGCGGCTCTGAGGCTAGGGCTCTGTGCCAGTAACTGGAAGGTTGCTGGTTCAAATCCCATGAATACCTGGACTGATCCTATTCCTTTGGGCCCTTGATCAAGGCCGTTAACCTGCAATTGCTTTGTCCTGGGTATGACGTTAATCTACATCCAGCCCTATAAGGAGGTGCTCCAACTTACAGGGAATAACTTGGGGGTTGGTGGCAGGATTGGCACTCCAGCTACTGGAAAAAACCTCACACTGGTCCATTCGGACTAGTGTGGTGCTGAGGTATCACCTGCCGCATGGCTGCACTCAGGTTCTCATCCCTGAGGTGGTTTGTCGTGTGGTGGGTGCATCAACGCGCTGTAATCAGTGCATGCTTACCTCTACCTCTCTCTAGATGATTTTGACAACAAAACAGCCTGAAAGTGTTACCAGGAGACACCAATGAAATGGGAATCCTAATGTTGTGATCCTGGTGACGCTGTCTAATTAAAGCTAAATTTAAAACATAAACGTATACAGCCACGGTTTATTTGGGTGGCATTACCTAACTGCAACAACGCAGGCTGATTGCTCAGCTCATCCAGGACTTGGCATGGTTTGAATATATTTAAGAGCCCCTTGTGCTGAAAGTCGCATTAATTGCTGAATTAATTTGAGTATTAAATATTAAAAACCCATCCCGTCGTGATGCATATAGCTTCGGTCTAGCATCTGAAGGCTTACACTTTTATCTATAGATGTACATATAATGCAGCCTCGTCGTCGCTGCGTGGCGCCCGGCTGTACCTTCAAATCCCCCGGGGCGAGCGCCCTGAAACCGGGAGAAAGTCTCCTTCAGCGGATGGGGTTTTAGGGGTTTTCTCGAAAATGCAACAAGCACTGCGGTCTGAACCGAGAAGGCGGCGGGCACTCGGTGGGGACTGGGCTGTAAAAGCATGGGCAATAAACCAAGTCAAGACAATTTTTAAAATCTTGTATAATTTTTAACAACTGTATTCTTCAAGACATGAAACTAATGGTATTTCGAATAGCCTGTGTCAGACTACAACGTTTTTATCCTCAAAGTTGCGTACATGGTGGATGTTTCGGGGACGGTTTGTGATGCGATAAGTGGGTATTTCTTTTCAGAGAGGAGCCCCGGTATACGTTTTATTTCGACAGTTCGAACCATCATTAAATATGCCTATTTAGGCTTTAATGCCCGATGAGCATTAAAGATATTCTATGCCAGTGTACTATCTATGCTGCCTGTGCATGTTATTTTAAATTTTCTTTTTGTACTGTTATTTAAACACTTTCCTCGTAACTGCAGATGTTATCACACAAAGCCCATACGAACTAATGATCGGTTTTAAAATCGCCCAAGATTAATTTGACGGCGTTGTTCCCTTGACAGATACGCGCCTCCTGACAAGGCAGCTGCTTAGTCTAAAAGTCTCTCCTCCTAAATTAACAAGATGGTTAGACACTGGGAAAAAAATATATAATGTGCCCATATACTGTAATGACACTGAGCTGCTTTTTTTATCGCGCTTATCAATCACCGCCCGTCGTTAATTTGACGTTTTATGGCGGCTGCAATTTGCTCCGGCCCCTGCTGCGCCTCTCATTTCGCAGCGGCAATTCCTCACCCCTGGGTCTCACGGGGAATTTTAAAATGTCATATAATAAGGCTGTTTAGTTAGATTAGCGTTTGATGTTTTACCTTATTAGGCCGATAATCGGAAACACAGACGTCGAATGTAAATTTTAATGTGCTTTTAATTCAAATGAATTTATTTAATTTTATAGCAAAGGTACACGTAGCCTATGGCTGGAAAGCTGGTTTGGTCCTAATGTTCAGTGTCAATGACACCATCCTGCTAGATGAAAAGATGTGCTGAAAATGCCGTTACTGGAATTAATTCACCACACTGGAGTCACTTTCCGTGTGAGACTGGCTCTGGGGAAACCCCCTGTCTCGCACACGCTTTAACACGCATGTACTGGAAAGTTTGGGGTGTCTCTTCATTAAGCATTCCCGCCGTGGCCATCCTCCTCCTCCGTCTGACCGGTCATTAGTGGGCGTACGAGAGCTGATTATGCGCACTCTCATTATGAGGGCACGTCCTTAAGCGTAGAAATGCAAATGGGAGACGTGTGATGGATTTGTGCAGCGTTCGCGCAGTAACCATGCCGACAGCGCCGCGCGTGGTGGAGCAGCGATCTCACAGCGATTTTTATTTGGGGAAAAACTCTTTTCACACGCCGTCTGAACTTCCAGGGCCTGCGGGGGCCACAGCCACACAGCCTGGGGATGGAATATTAAAAACTTTGAGAACCTCTGTGCTGACCGACCCCACCCCCCTCATATTTACTGCTATTACCTTATTTGCTAATCGTTGTCTAATGTTAGCTTGGGACTATAAGTATCTACGGAGTGCAGTAGTATTTGAACAAATGGTCCTCATTTGTTGTATATATATTTTTTAAAAACAAGGGCAGTGCTGTCACACTGCACACACACACTTTACCCCCCCATTCTGCCGAGCCTCCCAGCTCCACTTTCATCCATCTCATTTCTCCTGCCCCCCATACAGCAGCCTCGACAAGCTCTCTGGGGTCAGGGTGGAGAGCGAGAGACAGTAATGAGTCCATCTTTATTCCAGCTGCACTAGCAGTTGTGCTTCTGAAGCAAGGTCAGTCTTTATTCTCTTACACAGTAATGATAATCATGTTTTTTTTATGGGGGGGGGGAGCATTGCAAATTGATTAATCAAACCGCAGGTTTGATTCTCGGACAAGACACCCTCTTATTGTGCTTTGAACCAGCCTTTACAAAAGTGTTATTTAACCTACATTTTAAGGACATCTTATTCCGGAACGTTTCCCTACTCGCTGCTGTAATGGTGTCGATCGGGAGATTTATTTGAGAAGCAGGCGGTTAGATAACATCTTCTGCGTGCCTCTCCCCTGCTACAGAGCTCGTCAAGGGCAGCTTATGGAGCTGGAACAGGCTGTGATCCAACTATCCGCCGTGTGCCCGGGCTGCTGGGCTGGTTTAGCTTAGAGCCACCTGGGGCGCAAACCCACAACACTCAGCTGGCAGTAACGGCGAGACAGGTGTGATCCACAGGCTCAGAGGGCTGTTGGAGTCGCTGTGTCTCCATGCTACCTCTGGGAAGTCTTACTGCGACCCCAAAAGCTCAGACCTCCTGTGGGGTAGCCCCTGCCAGCCCCCCCATCCCCCCACAACTGAGTCTAACAGGTCTGTTAGAGTACGAGTCCAGAGAGCAGGGTGTGTGTGTGTGTGTGTGTGTGTGTGTGTGTGTGTGTGTGTGTCTTCTACAGTTGGCTGCCTTTCCAAAGCCAAGGTGTTGGCACCCAGCTGTCTTGCTAAGCCGGACCTCAGACATGGCCTGTTGAAAAGATGCTGCCAATGGTTCTGGTTTCACAAATCACACAGCATGTTACTGCGCGTTACAGTGAGGCTGGCTGCTATTGTGGGCGTGGCAGTTGGAGACAGCCTTAGGCTCTGGTTTGTGGATGTGATCTGTGGGCGTGACTTGTGGATATGGCCTTTGCCTGTGGTTTCTGGATGCGATCTGTGGGCGTGGCTTGTGGATATGGCCTTAGGCTCTGGTTTGTGGATGTGATCTGTGGGCGTGACTTGTGGCTATGGCCTTTGCCTGTGGTCTGGGGGTGCGGTCTGTGGGCGTGGCTTGTGGATATGGCCTTTGCCTGTGGTCTGGGGGTGCGGTCTGTGGGCGTGGCTTGTGGATATGACCTTTCACTGTGGTCTGTGGATGCGATCTGTGGGCGTGGCTCGTGGATATGACCTTTCACTGTGGTTCCTGGATGCGATCTGTGGGCGTGGCTCGTGGATATAGCCTTTCACTGTGGTTCCTGGATGTGATCTGTGGGTGTGGCTTGGTGATATGGCCTTTCACTGTGGTTCCTGGATGCGATCTGTGGGCGTGGCTCGTGGATATGGCCTTTCACTGTGGTTCCTGGATGTGATCTGTGGGTGTGGCTTGGTGATATGGCCTTTGCCTGTGGTTCCTGGATGCGATCTGTGGGCGTGGCTTGGGGCAGTTACAGTCTTCAGTTGCCCTCCCTCAGGCTCTCCCCCCAGCATTAATACTTATTATGGTGATAGGTGACCAACCTGCCTTTGAACCAGTGAAACGTAAACGTGCCACTGCAAGGATCTAGCGTGTCTCGCCACAAGCTGTTCGTAGAAAGACCAGTGTGACTGATTTTGACTGCGTGACCCACAGAGCGAGCCCACCCACGCTCGGTGACCTCGCCGCGCTCCGCCGGCTGTCGTCAGATGCGGAGGCGGCACCCGTGAGAGGCTCCGGTCACTGCAGCCCCACATGAAAGGGGAAGCGTGCCCTTTGAAATGCTAAAGAGGGGCACTCCTATTGGCCGCCGTGTCCATGGGCAGATTGCAGCTATCCCCTCCCGTACGTTTGTCGATATGAATAACAGATTTGCTTTCTGGAGGTTTTAATTGTCCACTTCGGCTCATCAGATACAATGCAGGCACTGGGCCATGCACGTGCGTGGCTGAGATCTCCACTCTCAGCTTTATGGTTCACACCCCTCTCTCTCTTCTCTTCTCTCTCACAGGCAGGAGTCCAGTGATCTTCCAGGGGCCATACAGAGGTAAGGCCACCACAGGCTGCAGCTGCTCTGACGGAGCCCTGCCTCTAGGGGGCGCATGTGCTCTCCCTGCCTCCCCAGCTACCCATAAAGAGGGCGACGTGTCACGTTATTTCAGTTATAATGGACATCACCCGGAACTCAAAGGGGTCTCTCTGACCCCACATTTACTGAACACCACGAAGAGCAGAACTCGGAAGGTTCCAGAACAAAGAGTTGGGTTCTACTGCTTTCCAGGCTATTTTTATTGGTCAGAAGCCCCAACGGCACAGAATCGGTGGAACAGAAAGAGAACGAACGGCTTAAAATAAATTCTTTAAATAGCTGCTTCCTCATTTAGGATTCTGTTAGCGTGAAGCCGTCAGGTGTTTCTGTAGAAATGATTTGCGACTGGTTCATAAAGACTGCAGAGGTAACAATGGACGCTAACTTTGTCCATGTTCGGCAATGAAGGTGCCCACCCCCCCCCCCCCCCCCTGACACAGATATCATTGGCCTTCAACAGGCCAATGGTTGTCCATTATCCTTCCATGACCTTACTGGCGTGATATTTTATAATTGGGCAAAACGTTAATCTGAGAATAAACCACTGATTTGCACATTTTTTGGAAACAAAATTTGCAGTGCGGTTCAGATACAGTGTGACATTTTGGCTGCGACCCTCGCGATTCCCAGAGGAAGCAGGATGACAGCAGCCATTAGGAAGCTAATGATCTGGTGTGGGGGGGGGGGGCGGCAAGGCGATGTACCAGCCAAGCGGGAAAGCCGTGACCCCGGCCAGCAGCTGTGCCGTCCTCCCAGCTGCCAGTTAGCTGCTTAGCTGTTAGCCAAGCAGGGGGGGTTGTCTGACCTGGACCTCCCATAATGCATCTGCAGAGCCCAGACCGTACTCCCACTTTGCTGTTTCCGACCGACGAATCCAATCATGATCGACATTTAAATTCAGCATTCAGCCAGTAGGGGGCAGCGTGGCAGCATCCCACCGGCGGAGCCTGGTTCAGGCTGGTAATTACACCTCTGTGTGGTGATTAAGTTCTCACCCAGCAAACAGCTTATCATTATGTGCCTGGCACCGTGGAGTGGGAAAGCAGCGATCATTATCCCTGTATCCTGCACGTCATCCCAGGCCTGACCTCGCGGGCATTCAGCCACGGCCCTGATTACAGCCTCGTCTTCGCCGCCACGGACGGACTGTTCTTCACGTATGATGGGACTCGCGCTTCTGATGGCCACGCTTTTCACGATGAAATTTCAATACGATTCACTTTCCCATTTCTCTAGGAGAAAAGATACAAGGAACTTTGAGTCGTACTTGAGAAGGGTTGCTCCCATGCATTTATTCATAATTCAATTAACATATTTTAATAAATGCACTAATTATGAACTGCCTCCAGTGACGAGTCTCGACTGAACATGTCTTATCTGCCCCGGCAGGCTGTAATGCTGAGGCTTCCCTGAGTCTGAATGTGAGCTCTGGAATAACGAAAGGGGGTACCACTGCCTCACTGCAGGGATAGACAGAATGAGATGCAGGAGGAGAGAGTGAGGAGGAGAAGACCAGTAAAAGATGAACATTTGGCAAGGAGGACCAGTTGGGGAGGGGGGATGGATCTATTACTCTAGAAGGTACTGTTTTCCTTTTCAAAAACAAGGTGCATTGTGGGTATAATCTGGTTACGGCGTGATCCCGGCCTCCCCATGGTGTAGTTAGTGTGGTCAAAGCTTGGTGTCATGAGTTCTGTTCCCCAGTCTGAAATAAGCCTGGATGTGGAATGAAAATATGTATGTGCAGCAATTCCAGGAAGAGATGATGATGGTGATGATGGTGATGAGTTTTCAATTCATTTAGTCAATGTTCCAGTAACATTACTCTCGAGGTAGCTTTCTTGTTCAAAAAGCATGATTCTCTCTTTATATGGCTCTGTAATAATTGACATTATATCGCTGTTGAAACTTGGCAGTTGGTGCATAACTGGAGCCGGAGGGAAGGGAGAATCTGCATACAGGGCACCTGACAGCCCGGTGGCACAGAACCAGAACCAGCCCTGATCTAAAGTTCGCTTTAGTTGTTCATTCTCCCATTTTTTCCAGCCAATAATGAAGAGCGCTTTCAGTATTCCGCTGGTCACAGCCGTTTAATCCAGTGATAAATCGTTAACTATGGAGCAGTAAGCCAGTATAAGATGAGGGCGGCGCCGGGCACCGGGTGCTTAGCCAATAGGCTGCAGTGATTCACCGGCAGCTGCCTCAGGACTCCGCCCACTGCTGCTGGGCACCGTGATTGACAGCTCTTGACTAATAGGGACTTTGGAGGCTCTCTGACTTCTGTCTGAATGTGTCCCTGAGGGCTGGGAGGGAGAATTGGGAGGAGCACAGAGACCGTGTGTGTGTGTGTGTGTGTGTGTGTGTGTGTGTGTGTGTGTGTGTGTGTGTGTGTGTGTGTGTGTGTGTGTGT